AAGGAATCCCAGATAGAGTAGAAGAATTGTGGAATAAAACTCAAAATTATAAAAACGATCAGGCTTACTGGTCAAAATGATACTGAAGAAACCAAAGACTATGGCCCTTGGTCACCTATTCAGGTCTGAAATAGAGTTCACCCTCATTACCCAATTTTCAATCTAGCAGTAGATAAATGTATAGGGTATACTCACCATGGAATGGTCAACCATTCAAGATCAAAAGGGCAACAAATGTTGCCTAAGGACAAAGCTCTGAAACATTGGGAAGGAGAATGGAATGGAAATAAGAACCACAGGGAGGAAGTGGGATGACTGTTGTTACATGAAGGAGATTGCAGTCATTGAGATGAAACAAAGTGTGTGATTTGTTGAATGTAAAACTGATGATCTGCTCTGAAACCCTACACTCAATTCACAACAAAAAGTTTTCCAAAAAAAAAAAAAAGGTGGAGCCATTCTCTGAAGAAAGAGATCATGCTTGATAAAGTAACAAAACAAAAAACCCAAACCCCTTGTCATCTAGTTGATTCTGATTCAGCCAAAACATAGTGACCCAATAGTAGTACTGGCCCATAGGGTTCTAAAGCTGTAAATCTTTACAGAAGCAGACTGCCACATTGGTCTCCTGCAGAGCAACTGGCAAGTTCAAACCACCAACCCTTCCTTAGAGGGTCAATAAAAGTGAGGAAGACCCTTAATGGGATGGATTGACACAATGGCTGCAACAATAGTAAAGATTGTGAGAAAGATACAGAACCAGGCAGGCAGCATTTAGTTCTGTTATATAGAGAATGGCTGTGAGTGGAAATTGACTTGAAGGCATCTAACAACGCTTGTTTCTTGAATATAAATAATAGTAACAACAACCAACATTTATTGAGCACTGTATGTCAGAGTCAGACACTGGATTCAAGTGGATTATCTCATTTAATACTCACAATTGCCCTAAGAAAGAGTTTCTGTTATAAATCTAAATATTTACTAAATTCTTCCCACCTGGAGAATAGGAGAGATAACATCTTTTCTTTTTTTAGACTTGTCTCCCTAGGTAGGTTGGGCTCTGTGAATCAAACAATGGAACATTGTTTTTCTATCTCCCCCTCAGGGCCTTGAACAATGCTGGGCAGGTACCATCTTCAGTGGACACTAAATTAGGGTGAGTCACTGAATTAAAACATTAGAGATTCCTCTGCTTGGCTACTAATGTCATTAGGCTCAGTTGAGGGCATTTTTTTTGTCTGCTTCTTCCTTCTCCCATCCCCCACTATGGGTAGTTCCCAGGAGCAGCCAGCCAGTGGTTTCATGCTTCTATGCCTTTAGTACACAGTTACCTCTACCTGGAATTCCCTCCTCGACTTGCTGGCTGGCCCACCCTCTGACTCAGCAGATTTGGGGATGTGTCCCACTTGTTCCTAGACCACATCTCCCTCAGAGTGAAGATCCCAAGTGCTTGTCCTTGTTTTTTGATGTGTCTCTCTTCCTTACCCTGAGATTCTTCCATGCAGGATAAAGATTGTTTCATCTCAGTACCCACATGTAGCATCTAGCACAGCATGAGACACATAGTAGGTTCTCAATAAATGTTTAAAGAACAAGTGAAGCCCTCCATAAACTGGTTTCAGACATTCTGCCTCTGCTCTCTGTCCCTCACCCTTGCCCCCTCCCACTTCACCCCTCCTTGTGTTTTTGTTGGACATTTTATTGTGAATTGGGTGAAGGTTTACAGTGCTGATCAGTTTTCCATCCAACAATTCATACACATTTTGTTTCATCTCATTAATTGCAATCTCCACAATGTGATGTCCCTTTTCCCACTTCCTCCTTTTGTTTCCTGTTTTCATTCCTCCTTCTTTTCTTTCTGAACTTTGTCCTTGGGTAAATGCCATCCTTTGGATTTCAAATGGTTGATTATACTGAAGTGTACATACCTCAGTAGTGTTATTGTTCTCCTTATAGATCTAGCTATTGTACGGCTGAACATTGAGTCAAGGGGATGAGTTCATTTCCACACTAAGAGTGAAAATAAAAATGGAGGGTGAGGCCATAGGCTCAGAGGACTCCATCATTGACATACCTCCTTCCCATTGCTCTATCTTAGTTCAGTCCTCTACATCTCTCACCTAGACTGGTCCGCAGCCTCTTAGATGATCACTTTTGTTTTAGCATCTCCCCACCCCACACCCCCATAGCACAGACACATTCAACCAACTATCCGTATACATCTGATTCAGGTAATCAGTCATCCTCTGCTCACTAGTCTTTAATGGCTCCCCCACGTGATCCTACACAACTCAAAAGGGCAACCCCTCTACTCTGTCCTCAGTTCACTATTCATCTCCCACTGCTCCCCACACATTACTCCATTGCAGTTCTCTTGATACAACACTCCCTACTTTCATCAAGGAAGGGAGATACAAACAATGGCCCTTATCCTTAAGGAAGTTAGTGCTTGCCACTCCCATCCTCCACGACCATCTACCTAACATATAGGTAGGAATCTATCTAAAACCCCCAGTTGATCAAATTATTCCCCACTTGGACCCTACAGTGGTCCCTCGTTCTCAGTATGCAAAGTCTGGGATTTAGAGACTTCTCTCACCTCATCCCCCACCTGTTACTTCCCCTCTCCCTCAGCTCTTACCCCAATTGGGAGCTCAGGTTTCTCCCTTGCTCTTTACAACTTTTCCTGTGACTCAACAGCATCACTTCCTGATGCAGGTCAGAGACTCCTATGAGCTCACTTAGCCCCTAGGCCTGCCTCTATGATGCCATATATCACACTCATCCCACTGCCTCACCCACCAGACTGAGCTCCAGGGAGGCAGAAACAAGATCTAATCCCTTTTTTTTTTTTTTTCAACCAGCTCCTAAACCTTAAGAAACAATACCTGTCATAAGACACATCCTTAAACTCGTTTTAGAATGAATAAATCAATGAATGAATCAATGAGGCAATATTTTTAATGACAATAAACAGCAAAATCAGAGCTACAGAATTCCTTTCTGGTAGGTGACATTTCTAATCTTGTTCTCTTCTTGCTTGTTGGTATTTTTTCACATTTCTGTAAGGAGTGTATTTTTGCTTTCATAAGAAAGAACACCAAGGGAAACTTCATTTGAAAAAATAAATTCAAGAATTTGGGAATTCAAAAGAAAGGAAATATCCTCATCCAGCTGTGAGAATGAAAGGAGGGCTTAAGAATTTCTACAATGGAAGGGTACTGAGCTAGTTTTGAGTTGAGGGGAAGCCTGCCCAGAACTCAGCATCTGGAGTAGTAAAAAGGCAGTGGTGACAGAATCAAAGGTGACACAGGACAGAGGGTGTAAAGGGTGGCATCATAGAGTCATAGCAACAAATGACTACAAACTGTTTCCCCTGGGGAACCGAAACGACACATCGAAGAGATGTATGCTCCCAGACTGGCAAACCTCAGCCAGATTACTAGTCTGTGATTAGTATTGGATAATGACTTCCATTCAGCTCTGATCTGTCTTTTAACCTGGATTATCATTCCTCCTGTGTGGCACAGTAGGTCTAGAAGCACTAGACCGCAAAGTCCAATTGAACCACAGGGTTGGCAGATCAAATTTACCAGCTACTCCTCAGAAACCCTATACAGGGTCACTATGAGTCAGAACTGACTCAAAGGCAACAACAATATAACAATTTCTCCTACTTCCAGTGTGGCGTCCTGTTGTGTGTAGCACTGTAGGGTAAACACTGGATTGCTAACCGAAGGGTCAGTGGTTCAAACCCACTAGTCGCGCCTCAGAAATCCTATACAGGGTCTCTATGAGACCCAACTAAACTGCATTATAACAACTCCCAGGATGGGATTACACAATAAACAAAGTCCAAATGAGTTTTCTGTGTTCATTTACTCATCTGTAGTGTATAATTTCACTTTTTTGCTCACCACATCAAAGATTTCACTTCTAGGTACGGCTGGCATCTCTCTCTCTCCCAAGCCCACTGTTGTTAGCACAGCAGAAGGAAACAATGTCCGATCCTGGGCCAACCTCACCATTTTTGCCACGCTTGAGTCCATCGATGCTTGGCCAATCCATCTCGTTGGGGGTCTTCCTCTTTTTCACCTACCTAATCAAAGCCTCTTCAAATTTACAACCTTTGACAGGGACAGAGTACCCAAGAAGCAAGGAAAATACTGGTTTACTTGTATTTATTTGCTCATCTGTAGTGAATACTTTCATATGAAGTTACACAGTCATAACACTGTTCACCACAAATCCACATAGCGTGAAGCCATTCACTACAGAGGAGTAACTAAGCATAAGTAAATCCGGGTTGACAGTGCTTATTGGGTAACTACCCCTGCCTACTCCACAAGGTGTGGCAATAGATTATGCTCAATGAATAAAGAGTTTCAAGGAGCTGCCCAGGGGAGAAATAAGGCCAGGGAACTGTCCTTCGCAACCTTCGAAAAGGAACCCAAAGCCAAAAGAGTTTTAGATCACCTGGCATCTCTCCTTGGCTAAAAGGTCTTTAGCCCCAAGGACCCTCTTAGCCCCTAGGACCCGGAAGGGTCTACCGGAGTAGAGGGTCCAGCAGGAAGCCTAGCATCAACAAGAGAAGAACCGGAAAGGCAAGTTTTCCTATAACTCCTAGGTAAAAGTGATGGGGGGGTGGGGGGCGGTGGTACTCTGAAAACATTCCAAGTTAAAAGGCTGAGCCCGAGGGAAGAGGGGAATGTGTGAAACGGTTCGGATTTGGGCAGGAGCCCGAGTTTGTAGGAACTTGGGTGGTGCGGGCCGCAGGGCGTGGGCGGGGCAGGTGGGTGGGCGGGGCAGGTGGGATCGGAGGCGGGGTCAGCGGGACGGACCCATTGCACATGCGCACCGCACCCGGCGCTCACCGTAAGGAGTGGCACTTTTTAAAAGTACAGCCCGGAGGCTGACTCTAAGACTACAGACAGCTTTTCTGTCCGACGCTTAGTCCCGCCAGAACAATCTAGTCCCGCACCCGTCCAGCCTAGGCCACATCATGCCGGTCAAAGGAGGCACCAAGTGCATCAAATACCTTCTCTTCGGATTTAACTTCATCTTCTGGGTGAGTGAGCGCGACTACCGCACGCTCCTCCCCGGGCCACCTGTTCCTGGACCCAAGCCCGCGCACCCTGGGACACTGTCCGCGGCTGGGGCGCCGACAGCTGGCACTGCCCGAGCCGGGCAGACACTGGGCGGGAAGAGAAAGGGCACTGCGGCCACCAGCTGGCTTTCCTTCGGGTCCAGAGACGGGCAGGGCGGGTACTTTTGATGGGACGCGTTGGGGGGTGCTCCTCCGAAGTGAGAAGGCTGTTTGAAAGTGGTGATCGCTAGTGGGATGGGGACTCTAGAGACTGCCCTGGCCCTCTCCTTTGCCGAGGGATTTGGATTAGGGTTGTGTCTGCTCCCACCCAAACCCCTCCAAGCGGGTGGGGAAGACGGCAGGGAAAACGGAGCACCCCTCTTCAAGTCCCAGAGGATTGGGTGGGGGTGTTGTTTGTGACAGGTCTCCTTAGTGGTTTGGGAAGTCTGGAGGGGACGATGTGGGCGCTCTGCGTGATTTGGCGCCGGGAGGATTCCGCAAAGAGCTGTTGGCACTTTTACTGTGGAGGGAAGCGGGCAGCCAGTCGGGATCTCTCTACACTAGAGAGAGTCGAGACCGAGGTGTTTTTCGACTATTCTGGGTAGGCAACAAAGTGGAGAGTCGGCCCCTCTTCGCTGGAGGAGGAATCTCGAAGGACCCTATTCTCTCAGACTTTGAATATGAAGCCCTGAGAAAATCCGAGCTCCCTCGAAGCTACCTGAAAGACTAGCTTGTCCTGATTTGTTTTTCTGAAGGGCGATAAGTATCTTAACTCGAGAGAACTCCCGGAGAGTTGGGGAGAGGAGAGGCCGATGCTATCAGCATCTCCAGTGGGTTGAGTCCTATGTTTCTCCATTTCCGGGAGGTATCAGGTGGGGCCCTCTCGCTGCCCACCCAGGAGGGCCTCTGGCGACGTTCCACCCCACCCCACCCCCACCTCCGCTCACTCAGCAGCAAGGTGGAAGGGCCAGTTAATAATCTAAACATCACAGTACTCAGCTAGGAACCCCTAGGACACCTACACCCAGCTACTGTAAATGCGAAGTCAACAGAAAAGGAGAGCGTCCACCCCACACCTTCCCTTGGGAGATTGAGGGACTACCCAAGGACAGAAGCAAGAATTAGGTCACCTGCTTGTGTCCTGGTTCCGAGGCCAATTCCCTTGCACACAGGTGGACAATGTTTGCCTCTCTGGAGGCAGGAAGGGGCTCCCTGGTGGTGTATGGGATTGAGTGTTGGGCTGCTAACCACAACATCAGCGGTTCAAACCAACCAGTCACTCCAGGGGCTAAAGATGAGGCTGTCTGCTCTGTTAAAGATATACAGTCTGGGACACTGGGAAACAGTTCTACCTTGTTTTATATATATAGTTGCTCTGAGTTGGAATTGACTCCATGGCCATGGGTGGTGTTGGGTTGTATTGGGTTTGGAGCAGGCAGGGATTTGGAAAGGCAGTCCTGTACCTTCTCCAGGGAGATGGCTGAGAAAATAGCTTTATGAAGAGGGAGCTGGTGCATGGGTGGAGACCTCACCATCACAGGCTTGTCCCAAAGCATGGGCTCATTCCCCTAGTGCTGGTCAGTGGAGTCCCCCAGGAACCTTGGGGCAAATCAAAGATTCCAACCACCTCCTGGATCTGAAGGGTTGGTAGGAAAGCACTTGTCCAGAAACTGGCCTGTCCCTGCAAGGCACCACAACCCACACAAACACTGAGAGCGATACAAAGGTGTGGCCCTGCTCAGCTCTTGACTGCTGTAAGGGAGACCCTAGCTGCCATGGGCACCCCCTCTTGCTGGTATTCCCATTATGTCCTAGCTGGCTGCCAAGCTAAGCAGCCTTTTCTCACCAAACCCTTGGCACCAGAAAAGAATGTTTGGCTGGCCCCACCCCACCCCACCCTTGTACTTTGAGGAGTTTTCTTCTCACCACCCTAGCACACTCCCCCTTTCTAGGCTAGTCTGTTAGTCCTCAGCTATCTGCCTGGGCTCCAGGGGTTAGGGAAACAGGGACCATGCCACAGACCGTCACAAAGTGCCTCCACACACACACACACACACCTGTCCCATGACTTAAGCAAGAGTCTGATGGGAGGCTTCCAAAACCACCTCAATATCCCTCTAGCCTCTTGCCTAAAATTAGTTATCATCAACTCTGACTCACAGTGACCTCGTGTGCATCAGAGTAGAACTGTGCTCCGTAGGGTTTGTAGTGACTGGTTTTTCAGAAGTGGAGTATTAGGCTTCTCTTCCAAGTCATCTCTGGGCTGTCTTAGACCTCCAACCTTTCAGTTAACAGTCAAGCATGTTGACCCAGGGACTCAGAGTCTATTGCCTGCTGGCATGCAGTCTGTTGGTACTATCCCCAACCTGCCTCTTCTCTTGTGTTCCGTGCTGCCCTGCCTGGACTAGGTGGTCTATGTAGTCTGAAGCAGAGTCACTCACTGTTGGAATGTTTGGGTTTAGAGTTGGAGATGACTTTAGAGGTCATCCTAGCCAGCCCCTTTATTCACAGTGGGAACGCTGAAAGTCAAGAAAGGGAGATTGGTTTGCCCAGAGTCACACAGCTAGTCAGAGACCAGTCAAGACTACAGTCCTCTTCATTTCTATCACAAAATCACCCAGGGGATCTGATGATGGACTAGTGTATGTAGGCAGGTGAACAGTTGCTCTTTTCCTGAATTACCTGTTGCTCTGCTACCACATACTGGAGTCTGTATAGCTGAAGCCCTGTCTCCAGGGAGATGATGGGATAAAGGAATATTGTGATCCATTTGTATACAGAGTTTTACAGTTTACCAAGTCCTGTCTTTTCCCATGCAACATGACCTATGATAAAGCTACAGCAGGAAGCACTATCCTCATTTCACTGATGATCAAGAAATTCATTCTCGGAGAGGTTAAGTGACTTAGCCAGGGTAATATATACACATAGGTTGGTCTCAGGTCCAGCACACTGTCCATTACAACATGCTGCCTGGCCCAGCGGGGTTTGGCTGTTATGTGGAAATGGAAGCAGGGTGAGAACAAATTCTCAAAAATAACTTTGAAGAGAAGCTCCAGGATCTCAGGGACTGCATGGATGATTGTGAATTCACTACTGCTTTTTCTCCCTGGAGACCAGTTTATAAACTTGGCGTTTGAGACCTGATATGAGTTGTGACGGGAGCCCTGGTGGTGCAGTGGTTAAGCGCTCAGCTGCTAACCCATCAGCCCCTCCCTGGAAACCCTCCAGGGCAGTTCTACTCTGTCCTATTTAGGTCTCTGTGAGTCGGAATCTACTCAGGGGCTACTCAGTAGATCTGACTCATAGAGACCTAATCTGCTCATAGAGACCCAATCTACTATGGACTCTGAAAAGTAGTTGTGAGGCCAGGGGCCAAGGACCTGCCCCATGAGCAACGGACCCAACAGTGGGGTGGTTGGGTGGCTGCCACTTCCTTGGCCCTCATTTCTTCAGGATACTTGATAAGGCGCCTGCCCTTTCCCAGTAGGACCTCTGACACCCACAGCCAAACCAGCAATCATTCTGTTCTTCCAGCATACCAAAACTTAAACATCCCAGCTCTATTTCAGTTATTTCTGCATTTCCTTCAGACCTCCCTACCCACTCAGCCCCCACCCCCATGCCCCCAAAAAAAGATTGAGGGGAAAAACATCTTACTGATGTCAGGATGACAACACAACTATTTCAAGGAGACCTGGGCTAAGGCTGGGCCAGGAATGTGTGTTTTCCGTCCACCACTGCCCACCCCCTCAAGTCCTGTACCAGAGGGCTTCCTCTAAATGAGCCAGCAGGGAGCTGAGCCCAGGGCCAAGGATGGAAATGATTGGCTGTATCAAAAGAGCCAGTCCCCACTTTCCTCTGCCCCTTTGCTCCCTCACAGATGAAAATAGCAAGCAGTCTCTTTTTCCCAACAAAAAATGGTGTCACTTGGCCCTTACAGAAGCAACTTGTAAATACGAACAGAGCCCTGAACTGATGCATAGCAAATTTCCAACAAATAGTTGTTGTTGTTGTTGTTAAGTGCCATCGAGTCGGTTCCGATCCATAGCAACCCTGTATACGGTTTCCAAGGAGCAGCTGGTGGATTTGAACCACTGACCTTGCAGTTCAACCGGCTGCAGTCTGGTGCATTAACCCACAGCACCACACCAGGACTCCAACAAATAGTAGCTATTGTTATTTCTTGGTTGAAAATAGATGGAAGCAGTAAGAGAGGGTGGGATTAATTTCCTAAGAGGTGTGGAAGTTTCAACCACAGACAATGCCAGCAGCACTCCAAATCTGCACACATTCCTCCCTTTTCTTCCTTCTTTTCCTGCACCCTTGCCAACCTCATTCATGCCACTCCCAAATCTGCAAGTCCTGCATCAAAACATTGACTCCATTTCACATATTGCTACCCGTTTGACTTTGGGACAGCCCCACTTGTAAAAATAAAACTGTATGACAGAGAGACCTGTGACAGCAGAATTCTGGGTCTGGGCAGAGTACAGACCAAGTTGGGTTGTGGTAGCAAAAGCCCCTGCCACCTAACTTGCTGCTTGGCCCGAAAGTTGTTTGATACTGGAACTGAGTAAGGAGTTGGGACTTGGCATAAAATGGCTTCCAACTTCTGGCATTCCGACAGCCTGAGCGGGCAGTAAACCTGGCTGTGTGTGCTAAAGCTGGCAGCTATGGGGAAGGGTGAGGCCGGGCTAGGTGTCTGTATCTGCTAAGGAAAGTAGACTTTCTCCCCGCCCAGAATCTTGAGGATTTGTCCCCACTTTTTCCACAGTGATGATCGAGATCTGATTCCTGATCTTTAGAGGAGAGGAGGTTCTACACACACATACCCCCCACACACACACACACCTGTTTTTCAAAGTGGCCAATAGCACCATTCTAGACCCCTCTCCCCTGCTCTTTTCCCAAATGAAGTGGCTGCTGGGTAAGACTTCAATTTGGAACTGCTTTCTTTGAGAAGCAGCCTAATGGAGGGG